GAGCGATGCTACTCTGGGGGGTGGAGGGGTGGGGGAGGAGAGAGGGGAAAAAAGAAAAAGGAGAAAGAGGAAAAAAAAGCAAAGACCCCCCTCCTCCCTCCTCTGCCCGGTCCCTTCCACCCCCGACACACACACACACACACAGAGGCGCGCACACACACCCCCCATTGATCAATATTTGGCTGTCTTGCTGCAACTTGCTGCAGTCTTTTAAAGGAGTAGTAGAGAGAGAGGGAGAGAGAAAGGGGAACTGACAGGAAGGGGTAAGGAGCTACACATGTCACATGTGCTTTCTAAGACGGCCAGGAGCTTCTGCAGGCTGGATCTGGTGGAGGATGCTGCGGCAGGGGGTTCACAGAGGGCTCCAGTCGGTTTTCTACAAGCTGGGTTTATTCGTGAGCAGGCATCCGGTGTTTTTCCTCACTGTGCCCGCGGTCCTGACCATCATCTTCGGCTTCAGCCTGCTCAACCGCTTCCAGCCTGACACTGACCTGGAGAGCCTGGTAGCCCCCAGCCACAGCCTGGCCAAGATCGAGAGGAGCTTAGCCAGCAGCCTTTTCTCCCTCGATCAATCCAAAAGCCAGCTGTATTCGGACTTGCACACCCCGGGGAGGTATGGCAGGGTGATCCTCCTCTCCAAACCCGGAGGCAATATTTTGCATCAGGCTGATGTGATCCTGCAGATCCACCGAGCCGTGCTGGAAATGAAGGTGAACTACAAAGGCTATAATTATACTTTTTCCCATCTGTGTGTGTTGAGAAATCAGGATAAGAAATGCGTGCTGGATGATATTATTTCAGTGCTAGAGGATCTGAGGCAGGCTGCCCTCTCCAATAAGACAACAGCCAGGGTGCAAGTGAGCTATCCCAACACTAAATTAAAGGTATGCTCTTACTGCATGCTTTTGCCAATTAAAGAGGCAGCACTTCATTTCTTGTCCTAAACAGCAAAAAGAAATATAATCATCTCTATCTCTCTCTCTCTAAATGGGTGTGATCTGGGCTTTCCTCGGGAAGCAGCTGAAACGGGTGCCTTGCTATTGTTCTGTACGAGGAGTGCGGGGGGGGCTGTACGCTAAGGAAGCAGGAGAAGCAGGGAGCGGAGAACAGCCTGGGGACCGGGAGACCTTGCAACGCCTTGAGAGGTTAAGGGACAGGAGGTCGGCGGGGGGGTTGAGAGCCGGGGTTTCTCTATCACCGTTTCCAGCCCCACTGGATAATTTATGTTTAATATGGCCAGAAAAGGCTTTCCTCAACTGCACAGTGAGCTCCTATACCTCCCTGCCTCTGTGAGTGCCGTAGGAGCAGCAGGAGGTTTGGGCCAGGAGCGATTCAGGTGTCCTGCCTTCTTTTTCTTTACCTGCATGCAAAGAAGGGGAAGGGAGGTGGAATTTTTTTCTCAGCGTGAAAATAATTAACTCTGCCGCTGATGGATGGGCTGGAGTTTTGGGATGGATCCCATCAGCTAGAGGCTTCCAGCAAAGGCAAAACAAGGTAAAAGGTGAAAGAAGTTTCAGTCCTTCCAATTAAAAGAATAAACAATTTGGCAGAAATGCTCTCTGGAATATTTTCCTGGCACACAAGCACCCATCTGCTTGCCCTCTCATCTGGAGCAACCCCGTTCACCAGGATTAACCTACTATGAGCGAATAAGATGCAAAGTTTGCAGGTGGCTTCTGGAAGAAGTTTCTGCAAATCACAGTAGATCTGCATGCTCCCCCAGGCATTGCGCCAGAGGCAGGTTTTATTTAACAGAGTGTAACAAATTCCCTAGCACACTAGTTACTCGTGGCTCAGGTCATAGGGAAGAAGATATGGTCCCTCTTGTAAACCAGAGAGGCTCATTGGGGTTAACTGTCCTCATTTTTAAAAAGAGATCCTCAGGGATGAGGGGGGTGGTGCTCTTGCAAGTACAGGCCAGATCCTGAAGTTTTCATTTGTTTCTTACTCTTCATTTACAAGGAAAAAAAAAAGTAAAGCCAGTCCCTGCCCCCAAAACTGAAGCAGAGACATAGATGGATTTTGTTGGTCTTTTTGTGTCATTAAAAGGGCCAGGTGGGACAGCTGGGATTTGGTCCCGCTGCTCTAGGTGTCACAGTAATTGCTTTGTGCAGAGTTGTGGCTGTTTGAGTTGAATGTGTGGAAATGAAAAGGTGTCCTTGCTGCTGGAAAGTCTTGAGTGCAAGGAGTGCTCAGAAACACAATTTATCTGTACTAAATATCCCCAAACAAGTTTTTCTTTTAGTTCACTGTGAAGACAATCCTGCTATTGCAGAATTAAGGTGCTTTCTTTCCATTATGCTTATTTTTAAAGTCAAGATTAAGCTAGTTTGGTGGAGAACACTGATAATCTGGACTGACGTAATTATAAACCAGCTTTAATACAGAAATAGTCATTCCACTCTCTCAATCCAGATTAATTTTCTTGTGTAGAGAAACCCTGACTGAGCTTGGAAAAACTAGGATAGGGTCACTTGGAATGTGTTTTTTTACTAGGAGGGTTCCTACAGCTCCTCCATTTTTAAAGATAAAAGCAAAGTTAATAATAACGTGGTCTGGATTAGTGATTTATTGGAATAAAAGTGATTGGTAGATAATTCACACAGAGAAAGGTGTGAATTGATGCTTCCCAATGCTTCCCAAAGCATTGATGTCTGACTCTGAGCGCTGCCAAATACCAGCCCAGCACCTCCAATCCCCCAAGTAGTTGTTGTGTATCACCTTCTGGATGAAGGAATAAATGCCCTTAAGTACCTAGGTTTAAAGGTGGACAGAGCAGGCAGCTTTCTACCTACTTCTAAGTAAAAGGAGGTAAAGCTGCCAAAATCTGCGACTGCATTTTAAAGAAAAGTGAATGATCCATTTCTGTGAGTAGGGACAGTCCCTGGTGTTACTGAGAAACAGAAATACACGTTGTCACAGTTTTTCTTTTTACGGTACAGTAAGGACTCCATTGTGGGACCCCGTGGTCAGATCTGATCCTGGACTGGCCTTCAGCTATGGCATGTCCTCAGAGACTCACCTCCTCTGGTCTCTTTGGCTCCAGCTGCTGGGAATAAATTACTACTTTGTATAGATTAATTCACTAGGTGAGTCCCCTCTCTGTCATCTCTGTTGTCCCATCTACCAAGCTACAGGGTTAGGAAGTTCTGGGCAAACATCTCTTGCTCTCCTTCAGGCCATGGCCAAAATATTGATTAAAACTAGGCTCCCAGGCTATTTACTGACCTCCCTCTCTCTGCACCTCTGAGCAAAGACTGTAGAAACCCAGGCTTGTGTTGCTTGTTTCTAGGCGTGTTTGAGCAGAAATACCTCGGATGCTGCACCCACTAGGGTAGATTAGTCTCTGGATGTCCAGCAAAGGGAACAACCCCTGTGGCTGTAGCTATGAGGTTATTATTTCTTTTTATTTGAGTCCTGACTTGAAGGAGCAGTTGTGGCTAGACCTCACAGGAATGCAAACAGGAGGGTCAAATCTGGCTGCCCTCACACAGTGTGGATCAGTGTTCATCACACTCCCCAGTCTGTATCCTTGGGAGCTTTCTCAGATAAACTTTCCTGCACCATAAGGACCCACCAGGATCTTCTAGGTTGCCTCACTTTCTCAAAGGACATGTTGCTTGCTTAATACTGGTGGATTTTGCCCTGTCTTGTTCTTTTAATAATGGCCTCAGATTGAATAAAATTCTTCTAAGAATAATATGGTGGGTTCACAAACTGAGAAGGTGTCCCAGATGTGTTTAGTCTGCAGGTGACATGGGTCAGGTGTCAACTTGTATGGGTTTGGGAACCACAATGACAATGTTGAGCTCTTCCAACTGCTCTCTTGCTCAATCTGGGAGGTCCAAAAACATCTTGTCATTTTTTCTTTCCCTCAAGCCTTGTGAGCAGCTCTCACTCTGCCCATCTTTTTGCCTCCTGCTGGAGTCCAAATTGGTTTGATTCTCACAGGTGAGGCTGACTGAAGGCTGGCTATGGGTAAGCTCTTTCCGGGTCTTTCATGGGAGCTTTGTGGGAGCCATACCAGCTGGTTTCAGCAAACAGCACTGGTTTTGAAACAGCTGTTATTGGGCTACAAAATCTAATGAGACTGCTTGTTTTTTCCTAAGAAAATCTGGCTGTAAAAGGTAATGATTGTTCAATCGTTACTTGTTGTACTGTTGGAAGATCTTAGAGCTTTGAATACATCTGTCTTCACTGCCTCTCTGTAAGTCGGGAAGTCTTGGTCTCCACTTGCCAGAGGAGGAGCAGAGATGGCACTTATATCCAGAGTGCAGACTGCAGTGTGGTTTCAAATGCATGAGGTGGGTTTAGAATGCGCTCTGGCCACACAGGGGTCATTGTAAGCTAGTTTACTCCTCTGAAAGGCCAGGTGAACCAGGCTGTATGAAAATGCCCGCTCCCATCACTTTGGGGACTCTCTCTAGCCCGTTCACGGTTACTGCTACGCCACGCTGCAGTCTGCAGCCCAGCCAGAAGAGTGACTTGTCCAAGGTCATGCAGATAGACTGTGGAGGAGCAAGAAAACAAAGCTGGATGTATGAAGTCTTGATGAAGACTTTTGAGACACGTCCTGGAGCAAGATTGCTCATGCTTGCCCCAGCCCAGGACAAAAAAACAATCTTCCTGTGCTTGGGTCTGGATTGTGCTCTAACCACATAAACCGGGCAAATCTACACTGAGCACTTAGCCTCAGACGTCAAACTGTTAAGTCACAAGTTTTAACAAATCCTGGCATCACTTTTGTCAGCTAAGGCTTCCAGGACAGTGCCTGGGCGTGGCTCGGGAGTTAGCATGGAAGAGTCCATT